TTAGGGCCTCAGCCATATGAGTCCCGTCCACATTCGAAACATAATGGAATGTGAGTCTTGGGTGTTTATAGAATTTAAGAGCTTCCGTCACCATGACGGGTCCAAGATCTGATCCTCCAATCCCAATGTTAACAACATCAGTGAATTCCTTTCCGGTATATCCCTTAATAGTTCCACTTCTTACACCCTCACAGAACTTCCCCATCTTAGCTAAGACGGCGTTGATCTCTGGCATCACATCTTTCCCATCAACAAGGACGGGTGTGTTGTCTCTATTTCTTAACGCGGTGTGCAAGACTGCTCTCTTCTCGGTGACATTGATCTTTTCTCCTGTGAACTCAGCTTCGATTTTCTTCTTCAAGTCGACGGCATTGCAAAGTGCAAGCAACAGCTTCATTGTTTCTTCATCAATAAGGTTTTTCGAGTAATCAAAGTGAATGCCTTCAAATTGAAGAGTATACTTGGCATACCGTGACGGGTCTTTCGCAAAAGCGTCCTTCATCACAAAGGATGCCATCGCAGCATGTTTCGCTTCAAGGGCCTTGTACTCTGGAAGGGTCGTAAACATAAGTGCTTTTTAGTCCTTTTCTGGTGTTATATAACTAGAAGAGCGTGGCGCCAACACGGTGAGATGTAATCCCAAAATCCCGATTCTCTTCGGGAGATATTTAGCCAGATTATTTTTTACACAAGTCATATGTGTAAAAAATATATTCTTAGTTATTAACTATTAGCTTTTGAATAATTACTTAATAGCTCTGTTCCGGCATTTTTGGGTTCATTATAAAAACAAAATCAGTTTTTCTTATTTTTTTAGTGGAATCTTAAATAAATGGGAAAAAACAATAAACTATTCAATATAAGAACATATTTATTTAATATAATTAAATAATGTATTTTTCTATAAACAAAAAAATTGTATTTTCCGATAAAAAGTGCAATTAAAAAAATTATTTCGCTTTGTGTACTATATTTTTAATAGAATAATCTGAAATAGTTTAATAAACCATATTTTATAATAAGAACACCTTTCTCTTGATTCATTTTCAATATCTTAAAGAAATACCCTTTCACATAGCCTAAATATTTCTAAGATCAAAAACTACATTTTTGGTATGAGTTGTTTTGAGATACTTTCTGCAGCTAAAGACGACACTGATCTTCTATGTTTCGCCTGACTGAGTCCTTTATCACTAAACAATTTTCTCATTACTGTTGGGGTTTTTGCTCCTCTTTTATTCTTTGAAACTTTCTTTCCGAATGTGTCGATGTATAAAGATGAAGGTGAACACACTTCTTTAATTCTTGAGTCAATAAATTTGAGTTGTATTTGCTAGAAGTTATTATTATAGTTATTATTATAATATTTATAATAATATTATAGTTATTATTATAGTTATTATTATAATAATATTATTATACACCTAACAAACGGGAAAGATATCTAAAGCAGCGGTCAGTATATTAGTAAAAGCCAAAAATACATATTGAGAGAACATTCCCTCAGTCATGGCACTTTTTCTAATCACTGCCGGACCCACACAAATTGCCAAATTATTAACATTCATTTTACTTGTTTTGTGTTCGACTATTTTCAAGCAAAGTGGAACGAAATATTCCAAAAACGTTTTGTTTTGGTCTGGCACGGTATTATACATTCCTCTAAACTTCATTTTCCACATTGCCAAATTTCCTCCGAAATTTTCAGTGATATTAATTAATTGGTCATACAACTCGACTGGCCATATAGGCTCACTAATTTCTCGAATATATTTCTTAATTAATGCACAAGCTAAAACTCCATCTATCAGATCAAAGTCTACGACTCCAATGTATTTAAAGTATTGTTCCATCTCACTCTTCCCCGCACATTGTCTAAAAACTCCTTCCATACTTTCCGTCGAGAAATAGACTTGGTACATCAATCGTTCTATTCCTTCAGGTAGAAACATCTTAGGCTTCCCCTCGAGCTTTAAAATAGTATCTACGGGCTGATTATAATCGCGTTGCAATTGTTTGACTCTCTCCGAGACTAACCGGTCTGAAACAAATGTGAACGGCTTCACCAAACTTTCATCCAGCGCTGCTCGCAACTCACCCTGTTGATTGTTTTTGAGGGATGTGATGTACTTCGTGAGACAGGTGTAAGTGTGCACGTTAAATACTTGTTGCATCTGTTCGGATTTTATTAGTGTGTGACTGCTGAATTCCTCCTTCCACTCCCAGGGTTTCTTAAGGCTGTCACTCAGCGCTCGAAAGGCCTCGTGCTAAGATGTGAATGTGTACTCCCCGTATCAAGGTACTGTACTATAACAATAGATTAAAAACTATAAATATAGTACAAAACAAACGTAAACGGAAAGAGTGTTGCGCATCGCGGTATTAACAGACTGGCACAAATCAACTAATGAGAGAAAAGACGCAGGAGTATCGTTAAAAGGAAGTTTTGATGTTGAGCCTTCGAGTGCTAAAGAGAAGTCGTTAAATGACGTGTCGACCATTCTCAAAGAATTTGCGACAATTGTTGCCTTTTGAGCAAGTTCGATTGTGGTCATGTACAGGTTTGATTTGTATTTGTCCATATGAAAAGGCTTTCTACATGTTTCAAGTTGAATTTTTAAGCTTTAAAAAGGTAATTAAATCTTTAGTTGTTTGAATTACTGTAATTAGTTTTATATGTATCAATAATTTCTTGTAGTATTTATTCTCATTCATTTTATTATTTTTTTATGTACTAGATATATAGTTGTATTTTCTTTTATTTATAATTCAGTGTACATTTTTTTCTTTTTTTATTTTTAACAAGTTTGATTCAAATTGAAAAACTAAAAAATATAATAATAATATCATAATTCATGGATATTATTTTTTATTTTTTTATTATATTTTAATTAATTAAATTTATTAATAAAACACAATAACTGAAAAATGAAAAAAACTCAAACTTTTACACAATTGTTTTTTGAAAATAAATAATTATTATAATAGTATTATAATAATAATTCTAATATTTAAATTTAATAAGTACTATTTAAATTTAATATTTGATGAAATGTTAATAAAACAAACTGTACTATAATTATTAATAAAATAAACTATTCTTGTTAAAATTTAAAAAACTACAAAAAATGTATAACAAACCAAAACTAAACTATAATTTAAAAGATATTCTCTTTTGTAGCGAAACTTTTACATTCTCATTGAATGAGATTAAAAACCACTTTTCCTCGTATTGTTCGAGGACTTGACTGTTAATGAAAGCTTCGCTGTCAGTATTAATGACATTGAATACTTCATTTTTCTCTTTTTCACTCAACATTCGTTTATATGCAGATTTGCACAATGATTGAATTCTTTGTTCCGCGTATTTCACGTTTTTGTCATTTGTTGCCGTCACGATGACGCATTCTTGATTTTCTTCGTCATCGTCAAGGAGATTTTCAATCTCCCTCTCACAATAATTGACGCAGAAATCTGGGTCTTTTAAAGCCAAAATAACAGGCCCAAAGTACCACGCTGACGCTTCAATGCCTTCTTTATTGAATATTAACGTTACCGCAGCAGCGACACAACAATCAACACTTACTACAACCTCTTCTTTCATCACTTCCGATGCAAAATTCTCTAGACCAACACAGAACCCATCCGCACCATTCCCCTTCACAGAAATACTCTCAGAGAACATTTCATAGTCGACTTCACATTGATTCATCATACTCATCACATCACTTTCGTGCCATTTCAAGACGTGGCGAAGCTCTACAGTGAGGCCTTTTTCTACCGTGTAGTCCTCCCCTTTGTTCGTAAGAAGAATCACATTTTCCATCTTCCCAAACTCTTCCTCTTCTTGCAGTCGACGCGCTTCTTCCTCGTCCCGCGCTTTCTCTTCCAACAACCGACGTTCTTCCTCTTTTTTGAGATTGGCAAGACGGGCGTCTTCTTCGGCCTTTTCTCGATCAAGACGCTGCTGTCGGGCTTTTTCAGTTTCGTCTTTGAGACTCTTCTCATGGGCTTGCGAGAGGAGAAGATCGCTGTAATACTCTGATGTCAGTTGATCGTCGCGCACCAAATTTCTTTCGTCGGCGTACCCAAAGTATCTGAACGCGTTGTCCGAGAGGTCGACGTCCAGCTCTCGAGCGACCTTCTCCTCGACTGCGTACATCTGCTGAATTTTCTTGTACCCATCCGCAAGCTCGTCCTGAGGCGTTTTCACCTCGTTCTCTTCTTTTGTGAAATTGCGAGAAAACTTTGGGAAGTACTCGCGAGTGACCTTTTTGCTTTGAGTGATCGACACGGTTTTTGGCTTAATGAAGTCGATATCCGACATGTCTTCACTTGTTGTGTCGGGTTTGGGTTTCTTTGTTTTCGTGGGTTGCTTAGGAGTCGTAGCGGCGAGGGTTTTGGTGACGACGTTCATGACTGGGACGGAGAGAACAGCGGGAGTTACTTTCTTTTTAATGAATCGATTATCGATGTTAGCCTCTTTGAGAATGAAAGTGGCAACCCACTTGTGCTTGGAAAGTTGTTTACACGTCATGTTGTTATTTAAGGTTGGTTGGCGGAGAATGAGAGTCGCGTATTTTGTCTCTTCAATAACACGGCGCGCGGTGTGGATCTGATTTTTATTCGCAACAAGAACTAACTTGTTGCCAAAATTCTGAAGATATAAGCAGCCTAATATCCCATTGCGAGCCAATAGACCCTGGCCAAAACGTAAGAGGTGTGGGTACAACGTGTCGTCGACCTTGACAAATACATAGTCGACTTCGGAAAGGCGGTTTTCTAATATTATTTTCGAGCACGGATACGGCGGGAATATCCTTAACTCGAAGTGCATGTAATCGCCAGAAACAGTGACTGGTGGATACATTGAAGATATGAATGCTTTGAGACAGTGTTGTACATAAAAGTAAAGGTGTGGTTCTGGTGAGAGTGATATTGTGAGTGTTGTTGGTCCAGTCTGTAGAGTCATTTGAGTATTAATGGAGTATATTTCGAGTTTTTTCAGATTCTTAAATGCAAATGAATTCAGTGCCTTCTCAACATGTATTTGTGTTGGCTCTATACTAACACCCCGTGCATTTTCCTTGGTCATTTATTAAAACTTGAGTCCAACAAATCATGGACGAAGATTTGTTGGATGCAAGACAAAGAAAGAACAAACAAGTGCTAAATTATTCAATTACCAACTGATAACAAATCTATTATAAATAAACTATAATTGAACACCAAGAAAAAAGAAATACGATAAGGAACTATAGTTAGCTATTTTTTAAATTATAAACAACCCCTTCAAAAATTTAAACTTAAAAAAAATAGAAATGAGTACGCAAATCATCGAACCCGTGGATCAACAGTTGTTAAAAAAGTCGATTATGCGCTTCAGTGCATCATTGGTGACGATGTCAGGTGTTACTTTTTTCTTTAGTTTTGTCCTTTTGTTGTTAGTGTCGCTCTCTTTATGGACTGCCTTTCAGAAAGCGTTTCTGTTTACTTGTGTTTTTGCTTTCCAAAGTCTTCTCCTCTATGTCATTAAGACAGGTTTGTTCTTAATATTAGAATCAATTCATAATATCAAGAGTTATACAGTAAATTGACATGAAGAAGACCATGTCTCCAACAAACCGGAGAACTATTGTAACACATTTGCTGGTGTATCGAAGACAATCATTTGTATGTTAGTATCCGTGTTTGTTGGGTACTTCTCTATGATTATTCTTAAAGGCGCTGTTCCAAACTCCGATGACGTCTATGAGGTAGATGAGTTGCACATGGTTTTTGCTGTCTCTGGCATATTTTTCGGACTGACTAACACATTTTCCTATGTTTTCCTTGACTTACTCAGCTTCAAGTCGTTCACAGAGCAAGCCGTTTGTCTTTTTTTCAAAATTATACGTGTATTGTATTTTAATTAATCTGACCAAAAGTCCGAAAATGACAGGTTCAATCTGATTATCAAAACGTTGAACCAGACGAGTATCTTGTTCATGATGAATCTCATCGTGTTCGCCGTTGCGGTGGTCCTTGTCAAGCTGTATGACAGCTTCTTGTATGGGCTTGGCTTCGATTTGACGATCAGATTCCTTTCGTTGGGACTCGCAGACATCATCCAGTATGTTGTGTTAATCTTCTTGTTCTCCCTTTGCAGCCGTTACGCATATCGGTACCTCTTTTACAGATTGAGCCTCCAGTGATAACCAAGCTATTAATGATGTTTCTTTCCTCCAATCTCAATCTTTTTCATTGAAATAGAAAACAAATATTATTTAATAATAATAATTAATTTCATATAGTTCTTTACTACATTCCAGTTTATTTTTATACAACAGGCAGACGTGATTCAAGACAAATGAAAGCAAATGAGAAACTATAAATTATGGTAACAAAACCATAAAAATACCATACTTGCGATTATAAAATTTACAACAACTCTCGCATATGCGTAACGGTGACTGGAGAACACAAGCGACTAGAAGTTGGTGATGTTGGGTCTGATGGACACACGTCACTATGTGCGTATTTAGGCGTTAAAACCCTTGACATACTTGATGCTCTTCCTTTAACAAAATCCTAATTATTAATAAAACTATTTATATTATTAAAAATAGCACAAAAAATGTAATATATTTACTAGAAGTATATAGTAAAAAACAAACCTTGTTGACGATAAAAAGTTTCCTGTGTTCTCTCCTCATTTTGCTTCTAGATGTTGGGGAAGTAGTTTCTGTGACCACGGGATTGATTAAATGATTATATGGTGGAACGAACGAATCGATAAAGAATAGGTCGTCAGGGTTTCTCAGCTCGACTCTGACGAGAGCAACAGTTGAATGATCCAATTTGCCGACAGGTTTTGTGCACACAAGAAGACTTGGCGGTGATTGTGGTGTCTGTGGACGGGACTTAGACTCCCTTGCCTGCGACGAAGCGTTTACGATATACTCCCCGATAGCCTCGACTGCCTCCGCAAGAGATGCGTGTTGTAAATACTGTCCGATTTGTTGTTCGATGAACTGTTGTTTTTGCATTTGATCCATAGTCTTTTCCACGCCGATGATTTCGGGGTCGAAGTTGTCATTGATCCCATCAGTACACGTCATTATGACATCACCGTCTTGAACTTCGGTGTACATTAACGTCACATTGCGAAGGTCGGGCTGATTATTTGTGAAATTGCCAATACGGCCTTGACTATTTGCCAAGTCTAATTGTTATTCTGTTAGTCTAATACCTCTCAAGTATAAAATTAATTCGTAGTACTCTGCTGTATTGCTACTACGTACTTATTGATGGATGAATTCCTTGACAACACGATATAGTAAAATTATATAGTAATTGAACTATTAGCATATAGTACAATAAAAAGTCACAAACCTTCCATACACTTTCTTGCTTCGAAGTTGAAAAACGATTTTGTTGAGGAGGTATTGTGGAGATAGGCTCGACTATCACCGATATTAAGAGTGAGTGCGGCGTATCTCTTCTCTGCGGCTTCGAGTTGAAGAACGACTTGTATTAAAATAGTTGTTGAACCGATTAACACTGTTTCGTTGTTCAATTCGGCGGCAGTGAAGATACTCTCGTGTGCGTCAGCCACCGCCCGGATCATTGCGTCAGCCATTTCCTTGATATTTGAACACGTTCGAATGTCTCTAGCCAAACTGCTAACGGCTGTTTGACCTGCGCTCCACGCCGCTTTCTTTGGTGCGGAACCGATACCGCATCCGTCGCACATACAATGTATTATAGTATTGTTATATAATAACATTTCATAAAAATCTGCTATTGGGTTTCCTATTTTTTTACCATTCACAATAGGGTAAGTGCTAAATGAAGTGAATGCGTAGTGTTGTGCTGATGATATGATCGGATATATCGGGTCATATTCCCCACTTGAAAACGCGTGTAACGGCGTGATATCCGGTTTCACAAAACTGATGCTAGAGGTGAGTCAATCGGTCGTATAGTTTATATAATGTACTATACTTATTAATTCTTTATAATTTTGTGTTGGGAAAAAAAACCATTGGATTTTGGTATACTCGGCGTCGAAAGAATCGTAAAACATTTTGTACATCTTCTTCGTCTGCTTTTTTGCCTCTTTTTGGGCTTGGTCACCAAACATGAAACTTCGTAGATCTCTTTGAAAAACAAAAATTATATAATTCATTAGAGCTATAGTTTTGATTGATATGACTGGCATTTTTACTTTTAATTTTAAAGTTAAAATAAAAATAATATAATATAATTTAATTTATTATAACTGTATTGTTTTGTTACTACTGTTTTACTATATGTAATAGTTTGTTTATACTATTCATAATTTGTAAAATGCTTTTATCTTTTTTGATTTTTATTTGAAACAATTTCTACCAATTAGTACTTTCTTATAATTTATTATAAAAAAATAGGTTGAAACTATAAAATATAATAAATAATTACAAACAGAATTAATCCAAGATTGAAATAAATGATAAGATGAGAGATGGTGATGGAAAATACAAAGACATAAATCAATCAGAACCAGTTGAGTGCCTGGTAGACCTTCTTCTTGTTAACACAAGTTGGGTCATACCCATAGACACGCTTTGTTTGCTCGTCGACCTTTCTTCGTTGTTCTTTAATCAACTCGTTTTTCTGCGCCACCTCTCCTTTCTGGACCAAGTCCCCAATAGTTGGGACACGTGCTGTTGCTTCTTGTTTCTTTTGTTTGTGTGTAGTGATAGCTTCGAGGTTGATACGCGCGCGGGTCTTTTGTTCTTTAGCCTTGTGTGTTTTCTTCGACGCGATCAGATCGTAGAGGTCCTTGTACTTAGTTTTGTCCGATGATGTTTTCATGAGTTCGTTGAGCTTCTCGACGTTTTCCAAGAAGTTATTATAAGTTGGGGTGTCTTCAAAGTCGTTTCTTTCGAGATCTTTGACGCTTTTTGGCAAGTCCCCTCTCTTATCTTTTTTCACGAGCAGATCATCTCGTTTATATGGCACAAAGTCATTTTTAGTTAATGTCTCACCACACCTCCCACATGGAAATTTATCATGTTTTGTGTTCAAGCATGCTTGGCATCTGCAAGTTAACTTTTTATACTTTAATCTTTAATCTTTAATTAATTAATAAATTAATAAATTAACAAACAAAACATGACAACAAAGTGTTGAACGACGAAGCTCATCTATGCGCGTTTTATCACATTCAAAACACTTCCGGTATTGATCCGGTATTTGGCGTAACGTCTTCGGGTCTTGCACTTCATATGAAAACGTCATATCAATTATTTCAGTTCATACTTATTTATTACTATTGTACTGTATCATATTTAATAATTTTATTTATTATATATTTGTTTTAACACATTTTATAGTTAATTTTATAATACATGGTTTAACAACAATTGAATAATAAATTGTATAATACTAAATAATAATATTATTAGTTTCTTTTAATAACAGTTAAAACTATATATAATAGTATAACTAATACTATATTTTTTCATTGTTTTATTCAACAAAAACACCCAAAAATCAAAACAAAAATGTTATTAAAAAAAACCCGCCGATCAAGTAGAAAAAACGCTCTAATAAAAGAGAACTTTTCTTTAAACTATTCTTTTGATTTCCTCATGTTGGACACATTAGAAAGAGAAAGACGTTTGATGAATAAATACTTCCCAAAACTCCGTTTTTACATCAAAAAGAAAAAAAGGGAAAACGACACTAATCCCGACCATTTGCTCGATCGTTGATTCATTGGGCCAGAGATGACCAGAACTGAAAAAGCGAGAAAAAATAGAACGAACCCTGATCTGTAAAATCAGAGTGATGGCCGTTTGTTTTTTTAGACGCCAAATTGACACAACCTGACTGTTAGTGTTGTGGTAACGATACTAAAAGTGCACCAACAAATGGACCCAAAGTGATTCCAGTTGTCGACACAAAAGCACCAGAGTCACAATTTCAATATGTTTTCAAATTTGTGGTCGTCGGAGAAGTCGCTGTCGGTAAGTCGTGCCTCCTCTTGCAATTCCAAGACAAGCGTTTCCAACCAATCCACGACTTGACCATCGGCGTCGAATTTGGCACCAAGACTGTCCCCATCCAGGGACAGTCCGTCAAATTGCAAATCGTTTGTTTTTACTAGTAACTAATAATTACTTTATTATAATTTTACTATACTTAGTAGTTCCTATGGAAGAATGGGATAACGATGCAGTGGGACACAGCAGGATCGGAAAAGTTCAGATCGATAACTAGAAGTTACTATAGAGGAGCAGCTGGTGCATTGTTGGTATACGACATCAGTCGAAAAGAGTCGTTTGAGAAAGTCCCGGTATGGCTTGAGGAGTGCCGTAAATACTCGAACCCGAATACAACTATCATGTTGGTTGGGAACAAGTGCGACTTGCCAGAGAGACAAGTTTCAAAAGAGGAGGGCGAGGCGTTTGCAAAAGAGAACGGGCTCCTCTTCTTGGAAGCTTCCGCAAGAGACGCAACTAATGTCGACAATTGTTTCTTGCAAACAGCGGAAGTCATTTTCGAGAACGTCAAGAGCGGAAAGGTCACCTTGGAAAATACAGACACAAGGTAATTTTCATTGATTTGTTGTTCACCAAAGTCCTATTCTTTACTATTAAGAATTGGTTTCATTCAACTTTACTTCATTACTATTGCCGAAGTTTTTAATTGTAAATTTTCTATTTGTTAATAATATTCTAATTGTTATAACAAATAGTATCTTTATAATAAAAATGATCAATAACTAAACTAATTTCAGTTTAATACTTGATTATAATTAATATACTTAATAAAAAATAATTAAAAAAATGATAAAAAATGTATAACAAAATTAATAACAAAAAATAATCATCAGTATAACAGAAAATGAATTGAAAAACATTTTATTTGGTAAGCAATTTTCACACCAAAAACGATTGTTGATTAATTTGATGGTATTTCTTGGAGTGTGTAAGTTTGTTCACTTTTCGGGATAAATAGGAAGCCAATATCATATAGTGTGTCATTAAATTTTTTGAATAAAATGGATTGATTGTTTGAATGAAGAGATTGAGAGGATTTCAATGTTATGTTACATTGGCAATAAAGAAAAACAAAATGAATTAATGCTATTTCAAGAATCTACCTCAATTCCTGAAAAGTTTAAATAATCTAAAAATAACACAATTAAAAGTTAAAGTTAGAATAATAAGCAATTCGATGAAAAAGTTTAAAAATAAATTAATTATTTGGCTTCACTTTTATGACTCTTTTAATAATTTTCATATTCCAGCATTTGTAATTGTCAGTGTACGTTAGCTTTGGGCATTTAAACGTATTTAATTAATATAATCAATGAATTAGTTTGTTATATTATACAATTCACATGATAGTCATAATTAAAAATATTAAAATAATTTTTATAAAATAAGAATTATTTCTTAGTTTATCCTCATAAAGCTGATACTAAAAATATATTATTATTTTGTTATTATGATTATAAAAAATAGACATTTGGTATTTAATAATTCAAACATTCGTTCAAAGATGGTTAGATAAATGGGTTATATAATAGCCATATGTACGGGATAAATATATGACTGAATATTTTGAATGTGAAGTTGAGTTTGATTATAATAATTTTGCTGAACAAAGAATAATAAATTTTTTAAAAAATTATTGTTCGATTATTATTATTTTTTTTAAATAAAATGAATTTATGAAAATAAAGTGATGCTCTTTTGTCGCATCCATATAAAAATTTACAACAAAATAATGAATTATTATTTAATCAAAATATCAATGTTGCTGACACAATTATTATTTATTGGGTTGTAAAGTGCTTGTTATTATTATTTATTGGAAACATCATATATTATTATATAGTAAAATAAATTTATTTCTGTTAAAAAAAATAAAGAAACAACAAACTAAACTTAACAAATATTGTTTTTTCGAAAAGAATAGAAAATGTTTGATCAAAAAAACATTCGAAAAATTCCCGTTGTTTTCCATTTAAATCACTTAATATTATATATTATTCAAACATTCCAATGAAGTTTTCAATGTGTCATTCTTAAAATTAAAATGTTTTTGTTATTGTTACTATTATTTGGATTTCTACTTTGATAATAACTACAATTCTGTACTCTATTTTACCAAGTCACTTCTTTTTATTTTATTTCCAAATGGCTTTAAAATTTTTTCTTAAAAAACCCAAACTATACCAATTTTCTCCCATTATTTATAAATGTCCACATATTATTTTGCAAAAAATAAGTATTGTTACCTTAAAAGTAATTGTGCTTCAACAAATTTTCAAGAGTATAAATGAGTGTTGATGTTAATGGTTTCGATTTCTAAACTAAACGAATAATATATTCATAACCCCAATGAGTAGAAATAATCAATTCCAAACATCAAAGTACTTTATCACCGCTCTATTTCCAAACAAACCAGAATTGAAAATCCTCTGATTTAGATGAAACTTGTTTGGTACGATTTCATAACTTCCGCAGATACCCGAAGTTTCTTCCATTGTTTCTATATAATTACAATGATTGAAAAATAGATAAAAATTCGACAAACAGTTTCTTCAAATAAAGATGTATTGCAACAATTTCGTAATTTAAAGTATATTTTCAGTAAAAATACAACAAACCACGTTTTTATGCCAGTAACACGACAACCACGTTTTATAGAAGTTCGTAATAATCAAGTTTACGAACAAATGGTTCTCCTCTGGATTATCAACAAAAGGTTTAGCATCTCTTTAAAGTGTCCCAACAAGAAGGCAACTGTCTTTGAACAATTTTTGACTGTCGAGTACATTTGGGATACATTTGATGAAATAGAAGTCAAAAAAGTGGTTTATGAGAGATGTTCACTCCGATATCAACAAGATCTCAACTGTGGTATATCACAAAAGACAGCAAAAAGAAGGAAAAATAATAATTATACCATTGAGTGTTTACAACTGTTAGTTGACATAGTCAGAGAACTTGGATTTTTTGTTGAGACTGAGCAGTGTGGAGGTAAAAAAGTAAATTTTAAAGAAGAGTATATCAAATATATATATTATGATGGTGTGCTGTTGTTTAATTCTAATAGTATTCAAATATTCGGAAAAACTATTATAGACACTTTAAATTGTAAATACACTAATTTGAGGTCAATTGTTCTTGAAAAAGATGTTTTTTCTAATATCTAAAATACGTGTTGTTTTGATTTCTAATTTTATTTTTTGTATAGTTAGTTTGTGTTGTTAAATTTATTTGAGTCTTTTTAAATAACGAAACGCATAAATGTTTAAATATACCTATATTATTCTATCAGTTACTTAATTTTCAAATGTAAACGATAGTTACTTAAGTACCATTGTCAATCATTTGGTAATACTATTGTATTTAATAACAAAAAGACTTCATTGTTTATTTTATTATAACTCATATATAACTCATATCAATTTATAGATTTGTAAAACTTTAATCCTATAGAGTTATGTTGGATTCAAAAAAAACAAAAAGTTATATGCATTTTTAAAGAATAAAAAGTAGCCTTTTTATAAAAAACTGTGATAATAAAATATGATAAACGTTTTTTAAAAAAATTAAAATATCTAAAAAAATAATTGTTTTTTGATACTCGATGATAAAGTGTGTAGTGTTACAATTAATTAATAAATATCATTATTTTGTTGTATTAAAAACATGTGTTTTGTTTATGTTCTATTTTTAAAGCAAAATATTATAAAAAATAAATATCATATTTTTTTATAAATTTGTTAATTTTATTTATTATCAAATAATTATTTTTTCAATAAAACGAATAAAATTAATTTCGAACAATTCAATGTTAAAAAGAAGTAAATGAATACTTTTAAGTAGTGAAGTTGGTATTGGCTGCTTCGTTATCTGCTGCCTTAAACTGGGCGTTTTCATTAGCAGTGTTAACAACATTCTTCATAGCAGAACTGACCAATTGGTAAGTTTTGAACACACCAATAGAAACAGCTACGAGTGCAACCACGAGAGCAACAACCACAGCAGCAACTGTAGTAGCAGCTGCAATAGCTCCGGTGTTATTAATTTCTCCAGCAAGAATACATTCCGCTTTTTCATTAAGTTGTTGTGTTCTATCCGTCTGATTCATGACCATACAGTTACCACAAGCATCTAATTGGTAGAATTCAGTCTCAGTCTCAGCGAACATAACAAGAGAAGCGCTTCCATCAATATAAGAACACTGACAATAGAAACATCTAGCTTGATTGGCTGTAAGTGTTGGGAACTCTTCAGCAACGAAACAGGATTTATCTTTGTATTCAGTAAGACCAGTAGCTTTGTTACAAGTTGCATCTTCACAAAGATTTCTTGGCTTTGGATCGACGTTGGAGTTCTTCTCATCTAAGACCCATTTATGTGTACACTTTTTGGCTTCAGTGTTTGTCTTGTACTCTTCAAATGTATTTGCTCCACCGGTGCATGTCTCTTCGCATATGTAATTGTAACATTTGTTATTCAATTTGACATTATCCCTTGTAAGGAAAAACTCGTCATCATCTTCTGGTCCATTTAATGGTGTAAATGAACACCAAAAGACGTCCTTTTCTGTGTCACAAATATGAGCAGCTTTTCTGCAACCATAGTCTGGATGTTCTTCTGTTGATTGGCATTTGGTGTCATCTGAAAGTGTGGGACACTTATTAGAAATACAATTAGTAGTTCCACAAGACATTGTTCTACCAACGGTGTCGTATTTAGCGAATTCTTTCTCACGAGCAGAATTCAATTTAGCAGTTGAGTTGTCACAAAGATTATACAAATCTTCACATTCAGTCTTACCTTCTGGCATGTTCTTGACAACGCAATTCTGTGGTTGACATTTGAAATCCGGATCAATGGTACACTCATTATCAGAACAGATATAATCAACACCACCAGATTGTCTTGGGCACTCATCGACAATTTCAAATGATGAATTGGTTTGGTGTGAGATACACTTCTTACAATTGGTTTTCTTGAATTTCCAGACACAATAGGCTTCCTTATCAGCTTCTTCAATGAAGTCAGGACTTTGTGGGAAACCATAATTCAACTTGTAGACATCCAATTTAGATGAGTAATGGTATGAGGCTTCCAAATAGTCACCATCAGAACACTCTCCAAAGGTCTTGAGAATCTCTCCAAAGTATTCAGTCTCCATACAGGACATTGGATATCTTGGAATACAATCACCACTACGGCAATCTTTGGGAAGTGTGTATTGGAGTTCTACACCATCATCACTGGTCCAAGTCTTATGAAGGACAACGTCTTTACAATACTGCATGTATGCTCCATTGACGCAAACACTGCATTGTGGCAATTTAAGAGTGGTGTAACTGCATCTGCCTGTTGCATTGTTATATTCGTAATTATAAGCAGTTTTATCTGCACCACATTCAAGACTCAAACAAGTCTGACAGAAGTCATTAGGATCTTTTCCTGCAGTCTGTGGATAAATACATTTCTTATCAACACATTGGCCTTGGAATTCACCACATGTACTCTTTTGTGTTGTGCAAGTTGAAATGTGTACAACTTTCTTTTGAGCAGTATCATATTTACATACTCCACAATCTACTTGAAGTGCTTCATCAGTAACAATCTGTTCAACTACACAAGCATTGTCTTTGCATACATATCCAAAAGTGTTATTGCATTTATTTACATCATCAACAATCACTTTTTGGTCACAAGTAATCGGATTCCACAACAAAGTTCCATCAGTCTCATTGCAAGTTGCCTTCAAGCAATTCTTAGAAGTCAAATCCTCCTTGCATCGAGAAGCGACACATTTTGGTGGTTCATGAGTATAATCGCAGATTTCGTTCTTATCAGAATCGCAGTAATTACCACCAGCAACTTTGTCACATTGACATTTGTTATTAGTGGAAGCATCACATTTACAAATTGAGGTGGTGCTTGTTTGCCCTCCACAAGACGTGAAAGTGTCGCAACTGAGTTTGTTCTCACATTGTCCGGTCTTTTCATTACATTTAGCGACATAACAATCCATTTCAACATATGGAATGGTCTTCACACAAACTTTGTTCTCAACTCTGCATTTTAAGTTGGCATCACATTTATACTGTTGGCACAAAGATGTCTTTGTTGGACACTTTTCAGCACCTTTGGTATGTTTAATACAATATCCACTATTGGAATCACATTTATAAGTCCAACAATAACCGTCCGTGGCTGGTACGTCGTCTTGTGGGCAGTTGTCTTGAATTGAACAAGTTCCCTTGTCACCATTTGGACATGTTGGTTTCATACATGCTACCTTTGGCTCACAACTGTTATTGTATCTACTGACTACACAACCTTCCAAATCTTTGCATGTATAATCACCAATACAATTTGAAGGACACTTGACTTTTTGTTTTGGATTAACAGGAGGCCATGGGGTACAAGTACCACTAGTGGTGTTACAGAAGGAATAGAAGCAAGTATTCTCACAGCACATTGGGCATGTACATCTATTTTTAGCATCACAGAACCCATTGCACTTGTTTCTGTCACATCTTTCAGTTAAATTGGCTCTAATAATGTTGAATGCTTCTTTAATCTGCTCGGCAACTTTATTGGTATCACTGGTTTCATGGAAATGGCCACCGAGTGATAACAACGTCTGTAATTTAGCAGTCATGGCATCACCCTGTCTGTTCAAAGATACTACATGTACAGTCAAATTCTTTCTATCAAAGTCGGTTTCAGCATTGAATTCTCTGTTAATACCATCATCAGTCAAAACCAAAATTGCACCTCTTTTAATAGTCTTTTTGGTAACTTTAGCTTCAAGGTCTCTTGAAGCTGCAACAATCAAAGTATCTACTTTTCCTTTTGATGGTTCAATACTTGAAAGTGTTGCATAAGTCAATTGCTCTTTTGTGATTTTCAAAGTTTGATAAGACTCTCCTTTCAAATAATAAACTGTTACAGAAGACAAAGTTGACAAGCTTTTGAAATCGTTAAAAGCACTTTGGACACTTTTTAAAGCAGCTTTATCGGAAATACCAAAGATAAGAGCCAATTCGGTACCTACATTATTTTTGGTAAAATCTTTTTGGCATTTGATTGCTGTTTTGTTGTATTCAACAATAAAATCTTGATTCAACCCATTGAAACTTCTGAAAGTAATAGTTTTACCTCCAATGAAATCAAATCTGCAAATGTCGTAATTTTCTGTTTTAGTCTCAGCTGTCATCTTTTCAGATAATGCAACATACACCAATGGACTTTTTGCTGGATATTGGTAACACGTTTTACCATTGATGTCAACTGCTTTAAGTCTGGTAGAATCTGTTGGTACTCTGTTCCAGTCGATTTCGTATTTAGAAACTGGATATCCATAATCCTTTTGACAGAAGTCTTGATTAGAATCAGTATTCAAAGTATTAAAGTTTTTAACATTGTGATCTTCATTAATCACACGAGTCACAAAGACACCATTTTCAAATGAAGTCCATATGATATGTCTCCATGGCTGCATAGCTAAGTAATATAAAACATCATACTTGTTCTCAGAAGAGTGTTGCCACAACCCTGCATTCTTTCCTCGATTCATGGTACCCAAATCGTAAATGTCAACGTCACCACTGAACTCGTTCAGACGGTCAGAGAATACTTGTAGACACAATAGTGCAATAATAATTGTTTTCATATGGTGAATACAAAGTTATTGTTCCTTTATATATGCAACAACTTTTTAAAAATGTTCGTTGGTTGTTCTTCCCTATTTCACCCCTTTTTGTTCTATTTATATAATTTACAAAGATATATTATACATGAGACTATCTGTATTATATTTAGTAATAAAATATATTATACTTCATAGTATATACCTTTTACTTTGTATTCAACAACATCATTTAAAAATTGTGAAACAGTTTTTATTTGTAACTTTTTTTTCAACAATTACTATAATAAATTGTTATTAATAATTTATTATTAATATCAACTGTTATTAATAAAAAAAAATTCAATGGTAGTTTTGACACATAAAAATCATTTTTTTTTAATTTAAAAAACTCTTCATTAATTAAATCCGAAGCGGTGCAAAAACAAACATTAGTTTGGCAAAAACTACCAAATTATAACAAACATCTTGTCCAATTAATTTATGTTCTTGTTTAATATTGACAAATACCGAAACTTGTTCTGATAATCTTAAATTTTGAAAATATTTTGTTTTCAAGTTCTTTTTTCAAATAAAACGTCAAACAATTAAAAAATCCGTTTTGTAATAGAATTATAATATAAATAATACAAATATAGTTAAACTATATATAAACTATAAAAATATCAAATATAATAGTATTATATTAATTTATTATATTATTAAATTAATAATTATTAAGTTTAGTACAAAACAACTCAAAGTCAAAACATAATTTAAGACTTTTTCTTATTATTGTCAAGATAATATAACAATAAAAAAATAACTATAATAAAATTATAATACAACTATATTTAAGAAATACACACAAAACTTGAAATTTTATTGAATGGACTATACCACAATCCCGAATTCGATTCCAATGGCCGAGAATTATAACGAAATGCGTCAGCCGCCTGTTATTACTGAGCAACAATTTGAAGACCCGACAATGAGTGTTCCCCCACCTGTTGCTGAGTCTGTCTGTGAACAAAGTTGCCCGACACGCATTGACATGGGACAACAAGAACAACCCGTGATGCCAATACACCCACCAAAAGCTTCTAAGTGTGTTTTAGTCTTCCAAAAAATTGCGATTGGGGTGTTCTTCATTGTCTTCTTCTTTGTTCTTTTTGTTATTTGTTTCAACGCCTTTTCTTTGCTCGCTTTGTGAATTGTCAATTGATCGATTTTCTTTTATTTATATAGTTTATTTTACTATTTATGATCATTTATAGTAATAGTTATTATTATAGTTCTTTTGTAACTTGAATAGTGTATCACGATTGACTTAAATACACCATATGATTATTATGTTCATCGCCGAGCCTAAGGCAAGTCCGATAACTATTAAGATACATCCTAAGAACCCACAAATGGCGAGTGAGCCTATTGCTTTGATATGTGACTCTATTTTTTTCAGTGAAGAGTCACAAGAATCAACGTCTGTATCTGAAACGACACTACATGTCCGTGTTAATATGTAGTTCTCACTGAAACAACACTTTTCATTGATTTCATATTGTGCTAATTCATCTTCATAATATGTGTTCATTCCATCATCTTTTGTATAGATAGATATGTTCTTATCATTGTGTATCACTAAACTACCAATTACTATAAATACTACTGCTCCAATAATGGGAATTATTGTGTACCAAACAGATACTACACCACCACCTGGAAATAACATGAATCCCCAGAAGACTAAATATAGAACACATATGATAATCGATATGTATCCGAAGGAAACACCAACTTTATAAACAAAATTAAGCTCTTTAAAAGTGTTGGGATATTTGTCATATTCTTTCTTTACCACATACGACGATGGAAGTGTTGCTATCCCAAGACCAAGAAGAACCACTCCTAGAACAATCATAGGAGCTATAAAGCAAAATGTGCATACCATCCAAACCATACCTTCGACACACGGCATTTGTTATATATTGAATATTCGTGTTTTGTCGTTGTTTTTATATAACTTTTCATAAAAATAAAATGAGGGATTGACCTTTTTGACTCTTTTGATAGCAAACATCACTCCGCAAATCGAACTTCTGTTTACCATTATAATTGTTTTAGTTTTATTTTTATAAATTAAATTAAAATAAATTATTTTTAATATATCTAAAACAATTATGAGACTTAATTGAAGGATTTAGTAATGTTTTACGAATAGTGCATTTTCTGTTGAAAACAATTTCAAAAATATCATTCAATTAATTATTATACAAAAGGTCATTTGGCTTATTTGCTGCTATTTCACAGAACAACCGTCACATCGTGAATGTAATAGAAACCAACAACTGTAACGAATTATTATTTAATAAACAAATAAAAAAAGAGGCTTGTAGTTTTATGGTTGTATTCTATTTTTAATTAAAAAACTATTTTATAATATTTCTGTACAACTCAAAAGCATCCAAGATCGTTCATTAAAATAGATGTAAAAATCAAACTATTGTTTAACTAAAAATTAGCATTATAATATGAAATTGTTGTTTGGATATATTGAATTATTACAGAAATTATTTGATATTATTGTTTTAGTTTTTTCTTTTTATTCTTAGAAGTAAAAATTCAAATTTTTTTCCTTCCATAATCAATAAAAAGATAATGAAAAAAACAAAAATAATGAAATTAATTGATAGACAAAATAATAGTAAAAATATAGTAGATTAGTAAACAACACATAGTAGATTACAAAAACGCAATTTTGATTCCATAATTTGATATCTTCTCATTGACAAACTTTGATATACCCTTAAGGTACATGAAAACGCTCTGTGAAATTTCCGACAAAACAATAACGTTGTTGAGCAGACTGACGACCTCTCCGACATTCTCGCACTTCGCTATCAAACTTTTAACTGGCTTGACCATGATCTTTGCCATCTCGCCTTCAAACCGCTCATTAACTTTAAAGAGATATTTTAAAAAGAGGAATTGAGAAGTTGATATCTCCCCCACGTTTTGTGTAAAGAAAGTTAAGAAGTTAACAATCCTCTCTGGTTTTCCCAAAAAGGTGATTCTCACAAACTCTTCAAGAAAGAGCGTAGAAACTTCGTACTTACTAATAGCGTATAAAAACTCGACGTCGTCCATAAAATCGTCGGAACTTAATTTGACAAGTTGCTTGTTACTCTTCTTTGCGTTGTCGTTAACGTCGGAATTTACATAAAGGGTATAGAAGCATCTCAGAAGCGCAGCAGCAGTCTTGTCGTTGATGTACTTCATACCCCCATTCTTGAGGATCTTCACTATCCTCCAGAAGATGTTCTTCTTGAGAACAACAAACTCCATTTCTTTGAAACTGTTCACCGCAAAGAACTCAAAGAGGTCGACTATACTCTCCCTTGGCGATTTCTCCACACTCACGATGCACCGTTCCGCAAATGTCGCAATCTCACTCAATCTCTCATAATCATAATCAGATCGTTCCGCCATTTTATCTGAAAGAACTTTCTTGAGCATTTTAAAAATCACATTCGATATCTGATAATTCCGAGAGAAGAACAGTGTTAAGACCTCTGGAGTGAAATAATGAAAGATCCAATCTGAACAAAACGTCACTTTGTCATAAATCTCATCAAAATAGGCCGCCCATGCTTCATAATTCGGGAGATTGGGATTTCTAAACAGAACAGTCTGCATGTAAAACAGAGAAAATTTGATAGAAAGTGATAAAGTTGAGGTTTTTGCAACAGAGAATGCAAAGTCCTGGAAGCTTCGCGAAAAAAGAAAAATCTCGTTGTGAAAGGATGAGAAGCGTTGCGGAATGACAGCACATTTGGGCGACATCTTGTAGAGGAAAATTTGTGGCGTTTGGGACAGCTCACTCGTGTCGAGATGACTCAGGTTCTCAAAGCTCTTCTCGGACCGCTCATACTTCTTCCCAAAGTCCCTCACCTTCTCAACAGTGACTCGTTCGCTTGAAACCAAAGGAGACGTCTTAAACCACTCCGTCCCTAACTTGAACCACGTTGACTCCCCTATCTCGCCATTCAAAATATACTCATAGTCTTTGTTTTGAGAATTGAATATGTCAATTTTTTCTTTGAATTGAAGGATACGATTTGAGGAAACAACAACATATTTTGCCCTTTGGTTTTCAGTATGATCGAAAATGTCGTCGAGGGTTTGGTCTTCCAAAACAAGTCCGTCGTCCCATCCAATTTGCCTTAAAAGCCCAAAAACCGTTTTGATGATGTGTAAATGGTCGGAACATTTTTCGTCGTACTTTTCCAACATGTTTTCGAGGTTCTTCGTAGAAATCTCACACTCTTGCTCGTTCTGTATTTTCGACAAAATTGTTTGTATCTCCCTCAAAATTATTTTGAGATCCCCGTCGGTTGTTTTTGTCATGAACTGTGGCGATACAACTCCACTGAAAATCAGTAAGGCATCAATGACTACCTTGTTTCCAACAAGGGATGGTGTGCAAAACTTGAACTCTTTTTTTGCGAAAAATGAAATGTAGCGGGAGGTCCAGGTAACTAAAAAGTTCCCGAGGTCTCCGATCTTCGCAAGTTCCAATACAAAATCGAAACACAACTGTCTTGAGTTCTCTGTCTTACATCTTGGGAATGTCTCATTGCCGTCTTTCACGACCAAAATTGGAAACAAATACACCTCCAGCAATTTCACAAAAAATACAGGGAAATCCTTCTCCAAAAATATGTTCTTTCCGTTGTCAAAGTGTTGTGACTTTATTATAGCAAGGCAGACTTCCAACGTTCCATCCAAGTTATCAATTTCGTCGATTTTACTATTTGTGTTGATCAAATGAATCACTTTGTCCACTTCTCGTTCGCAAAACTCTTTCATTTTCTCAGCACATTTCAGTCCTTTCAATTGAAAGCACTTTGGGATGATTCTCGACATCATAAAATAATATCCAAAGCCCTTTGCCTTCTTGTCATATTCAAAACAGTCGCTGTACAACTGTTCCATCACTTCGCTAGTTCCTTGCAAATTTTCACTTTCATTGTACCATTCAAGAATCTCCAAAAAATCGTCACAGTCCTCTCGCGTTTTCATTGAATTCAGTAATTCGATAAACGAACTATTAAATCGATTCTCACACTTCCCATTGATAAGACCAATGAACAGAATGGATTCAAATAAGCAAACGGTGCAATGCATAGTGATCGTTGGTGCCTTATCATCTTCTCTCCATGTCTTCAGCAGTTCTTCTATAAATTCGGAATTTTCCTTTTCAGTGTATTTGTCGAGATTTGCGTTCGTCCGCAGTTCTTTATTCTGCCGGAACACCCCCCACATGACTTTCGCAAATTGTTCGACTAAAATGTTCTTCACAAACACTTCAATCACTTCATTTCGGAGTAACACAAACACGTACTCAAGAAACTTCCAAAACGCCAAATCAACGGACGAGAAGACGTCTTCCTCTTCAATGTTTTTATAGAGAAACACCAACGAGGAGAATATCGAATTCTCAACACTTTTTGTGTTATATTCTCCCGAGCACAAGGTCCCCATCGCCTGCACCAAATTCGTTTCTTCATTAATAAAGTCGAACAGCGACGCGTACAAATTCCACCCCGAAAACGCAACACTTTCCGAATTTTTTAATATCGTTTTGATCAATTTTTCTTCAAGTTTTTTGTGCGTGTTATTCAACTCTTTGAGACCTTCCTTTTTAAAGCTCAACCCACTCCGTTTCGCCTCGTCCCCAATTTTCAAAATCACTTCATTTGATGTGATCGTTTTGGTGTTTTCATTCAGCTCAACGCCGTTCTGGATGATTCGAATGCGACTCGCCAACTCACTCTCAGACAACACAGACACCTTCTCCCAATTTTTCGGGATTTTGGCTCGTATTGTCGAGCACTCCTTCAGCTTTTTTGCCAATACCGTCTTTTGTCCTTCGATGTTATACAAATTGATTCGCGTGAAGTACACCAATTTCGTCGTCTTCATATAATTCTCCAAAATGTCATTTTGTTCGTTCAAAATATCTCGCGTTTTCCCATCAGGTTTCGACGAATTCGACACCACTGACACTTTAAACGCATCAACTCGCCAACTCTCCGTATTCTCTTCCTCGAGGAAGACGTCGACTACTGTTTTCGAGATTTGGTCCAACACCAAGTCGGACGTCTTCTCGATGAAGAGGACAAGCGTCTTCACCAGATAGAACGCGTCGGTGGAATTACATAATGTGACAAACGTGTCGACCACAAACC